TCTCTCTCTCTCTCTCTCTCTCTCTCTCTCTCTCTCTCTCTCTCTCTCTCTCTCTCTCTCTCTCTCTCTCTCTCTCTCTCTCTCTCTCATAGCTCTTCCACCTCCATCCCAGTGGGACGGAGGTTTTCTTGAATGCTGATGTGATGTCTCTCTTTAAAACCTCGAATGGCCTTGTCAATTTCCTCTCCCGGATAGGTTCTTTGACGCAATTCACTAACCAGGCATAGTAGCGGTAGAGTCCGCAGACTCGGATCGTTCGTGCATCTCACCATACGATGCAGGTAGCTGTTGATCATTGATCGCTTCGTCTGCTTATCACTGTAGGATCCATGGTGCTGTATGCTCTGGAAGGCCAGCGGTCTCCCACCTACCAAGCATTCCTGATTCTTCATCTGCAGAACAAATGAGATTCTTGGTCCTTCCTGGTCCACAAAAATCCGGCATCCCATAAAGGATAAAGTTCCATCTCCTTCATCCGTTCTCTCCAACGCGAGATCAGATGGATAGCTGTTCTGCAGACTCTTCAGAATCTCTCTCGCTCGGCAGGCCGTATCCGTCTTCTGTCGTAGGTATCGTACGAAAAATGCCACGTCATCCATGAGTCTGAGCCCAAGGATCCTCTTCCTATCAGTCCCGAGACTGAGTACGAAGTGAGCCTCGCTCCTGGCACATAGGATGCACGCGAGGGCTGGGCTAGTGTGGCCACCCATCGGGATCCCTTTCACCTGTTGGATCACTTCACCCTCCGCCAAGCTGTATGAGTATTTCAATTTGTATGCCACCCACTCACGCACTTGGTCGAATTTCACCGACCAGTGCCCGCCTCTAGCCTGGCTACCCATTGCCGGTTTCTTCCCCCGACAGCTAACATTAACCCTGTCATATCCTTTGGACACCATGATCTCAATCAACCAATCCACTGACCCCCGGATCGTGGTTTGTGATAGTTCTGCAAACATGTTATTGATGTCGAAGGTCGCCGTCAGCACTCCTTCTCTCGAGTTGAGACCGCCCGCCCATGTCGCCAGACGTTGCATCGCTTCTTTTGACGATGACACGTTGAAGTGTACTCGTTTCGCGAGGCATCCCAGCATGCAATGGAGTGCTTTCGCCACTTTCCTTGCACCTTCTTTCGTCGGTGAGTTCCAAGCCGGCGCAATTGGTCTCCATCGCCCAGGATCCTTGTTTTTTGGTATGATGTACGCATCTCCCAAACGACCTTTCTTCCTCCATGTCCCAGTCTTCTTCAGACCCCGCTCATCGTACCCTCTCTTACTCATGGCCAACGCTTCGGTCTCCGTTAGACTACTCATCTCGAAGTTGTTGCCATGCCAGAAGATGTCCCGGAGCGCTCTCGCATACACCTTCGGACACACTATGTATGTTGCCCCATGATTATGATCCATATGCATGCACACCAGACCTCTCAGACGCCTTTTCCAATCCAGGAGCGTCCGGTAGCAGCCATCTTTGCCTTTCTCTTTTTTATTCACGCACGATTCCACTTCGTCGAATCTTACGGTGAGAGACTTCCTTGTGCTCCCGAAGATCTCACTCAGACCATCCAAGATTGCGGCCATGATTCCTCGTCTTAGCTCCCTTGTCCGTTGTGGTGGAATATTCCTTGCGTTCAGTAGGAAGTTTGGGACATAGAGATCGCATAGCCTACAACGTACATGGCCTTCCGTGAGCGGGAAGGGGCTATCTGCGCAGGCGCAGATGCTACCATTCGAGCGTGCGTACTCCCGATGGTTGTGAAGCACGTCACCCAGTGTCTGTTTTTTCTTTCACACAGTGCGTACGTGTCTTCGTACAATTGTAGTAATCTCCTCACTCAGACCCAAATCTCCCACCTTCACCTTCGCCAAATCACATACTCTCTTCCTATCTATCCGGTCGTCGTAGGGAATCTTAATCACCAGCCTCATTCTAGTGTTAATTCCAACTTTCTCATTCAATACCCTCGATATAATACAGCGCATTCTCTGTCTACTCCTTTTCTCAAAACCTCTAATTGCCTGGTAGAGTAATGTCAGCTCGCGGTCCTCCTTTTTTCATAATAGTTTCCTTCGCCAGGGTTGAGTGAGTAGCAGCAGAAGTTCACGTTTGATCTTAGTTGGAAAAGTAGTCGTCTCCTCGGGATCTCTGATAGTCACCCCCCCCCCTTCTCGATGAGTCACTTGCCTTCCTTCAACATGCATGAGGTACCGTGTCATGCCAAATCTGCGTTTGAGTACCTTCCAGTCTTCGCACCAGATGTCTCTACTACACTGGATACGTATGTCCTTCTTCCCTCCGCGTATCGCAGACTCCAGATAGTTTGCCAATCTGGTAGTTGCCTTCCCCGTCTCGTCTTCGAATCTCAGAATCCTTCCCTTCCTGTCCCGTGTTCGTGCTCTTCCTTTCCTCTCTCGCTTTCCTTTCCTCTTCTTACGTCACTTCGGACGTGTCGCTCTCTTCGCTTTGCAGTTCAGCGCCGGCGACCACCGCCTAATTAAACAGCGTTCAATCCTTATCAAATCTGATTCATATTCGGCCTTGGTGAGAGGTAAGGCTACATATTCCTCTGTCCCTATCTTTCTAAGCCATTTATATAGCGGTTGGCTCTTACTCTCCTTTCCTCTACTACAGGTAATATGCTCCTTCCATCTGGAACTGAGATCCCGACTAGTGCGTCCTATGTATACCTTCCGGTTTTTCGCCGAGATCAGCGCATGCACGCATCTTGAAGGATTGGCCCACTTGATCCTATCATCCTCCCAAAGGTCTCTGAATTTCGCAGTCCACGGTATGTCTCCGAGTAGCGTCAGGATCACAATTGCACATCTCATCGCAGCATCTATGAGATCACAGATCGTTTTCTCCCTACTCAACTTCCTAAATTCGACCAGCGAGTGCCATATCGCCCAGGTACGGTCGAGGTCAGGCTGTCACATGTTTCCTAGATCAGGATCTCCTACTGGAGTACCCATCGGACTTCCCTCTTCCTCCGCTACTCCACCCGATTCCGCATTTGTGCGGAGGATCGTCTCCTGCATCTTGTTAGAAATCAGGCCCTTGATTGCTTTGTCCCGTGTCACGTACTCAGTACGTTCTTCGTCACATATGCATTGTAGCTCCGCCATCGATCGGGTCCGAAGGTAGCTTCTCATGGCCATGCAAAAATCCACCACGCTCGTCTTGGTATCGCCCTTGGTGATATCCTCCAGCTAGTGATTAGCGATTCTTTGTCAAAAACCTGATTTTTCTTCGTTTGAGATCTTGTCTTCATAGGCGTGATTGGTGTTGCCGGTTCTTCGAATCATATCCCCATGTTCGGCTTCCTCTCCCGTCGTGGTCGTGCAGGCGTTGCCGGAGTCTCTGTCGTTCGCTTTCTGGGAGGTCTTGTCGACGATGACGGCGCAAATTCATCGATTTCCAGTTTGATTTCCTTATGAGTTTGTTCTAATTCCCATTCCATCTCTAATTCCATCACCTTCTTTCTCGCACGAGCCTGATCTAGTTCCTCCTTTAGCTTCCGTAGCTGGGCAAGCCTCTTCTTCAATTCTTCCTTTTCCTTCTCCGGGCTGTCGTCCTTCGACAGTTCCCATTCGAGGTTGATAACCTCGTTCCTTAATTTACCGACGTCCTCCCTCTGTTGGTCCCGGGCTTGCATCTTCGATCGCACTTCTTCCATCTGGCCCGCCAATTTGTCATGCAGGCTCTTGAGTTGCGCGGTCATTGCTGTCATCAGCCTCGCATCACGGATCTCACCTTGTCTTTCAATCTCAGATTTGCGATGTTGGTGTAGTTCTTCTTCCCTCCTTCGTCTTTCCCCTTCCATCTTCTGACGCTCTTCCTCCTTCTGCCGTTCTTCTCTCTCCTTCCTCTCCCTAGCAATCTCTGAGCACAGTTCCCTGATCCAACTGATATCCTCCACGTCCTTCCTTTGTTGCCAGGATGGTCCATTGTATCTATAGTCGTTACTATTATTATTATTATTATTATTATTATTGTTATTATTATTATTATTATTATTATTATTATTATCCGCCGCCGGGCCTGATCTCTGCAGACAATCTCTCGCAAAATGGCCATCTTGGCCGCACGTATAACATCCCATCTTATCATACGTCACCCTCGTTCCTACTCCTCTATAACTCTTCGTAGTTAGAATAACGACCATCGTCCTAGTTGTCCTTCCCGGTCAGTTATCGCCCCAATCCTCTTACTCGGATCAAAGAGTCGTCACAAAGTGATCACCTGCATGCACACATCCACAGTCTGCTGAGAACGAGACAACTGATTCGCAAGATCTGCATGAAGNAGAGAGAGAGAGAGAGAGAGAGAGAGAGAGAGAGAGAGAGAGAGAGAGAGAGAGAGAGATTGTCTTCCTAGAAAGGAAAACCTTACGGGTTAAGATGAGAGTCGTTAACAGACGTAGGAGGGTCTTGGAGGATCTAGCACTACCAATGCGTGTGCGATGGGAGGTAGATATGAACATTTGTAGGTCTCTGGCAATATATAGTAGTAATAATATTCTTAACATTCTTTGTGGTATATTATATGCATCGTATCGATCCTTAAATAAACGCGCAGCAGGAAGTCATCACACGACAGGAATATCAGTCCTCACATCCAGCCCTCTCTCTCTCCCTCTCTCCCTCTCTCTCCCTCTCTCCCTCTCTCTCCCTCTCTCTCCCTCTCTCCCTCTCTCTCCCTCTTTCTGTATCTCGTGCAGTAGCGGATGCCAAGACACGGAGGGAAGGACGACTGGTAGGTGATGAAATCCATGCACACATAGGTGGCGATGAAATCCATGCACACATACCGTGACAAGTAATCCATGCACATATAAGGGAGAAGGTGAAGGTGTATTACTTGCCCGTTCTTTTCTTCAAGTTTATGTCTTGTTTTGGTCTTTCTTCTTAAATTTATATTTATGCGCGTTCGTTTAGAAGGAGAGTGGGTACGAAAATGAGTAGGGGCCCATTTTGTTTTTTTTATCTCTGTTCTTTTGCCTTTACAGATTTCCCGTTTTTTCTTTACCCTTTCGGGTTCGTTTCGTTCCTTATTTTCTTGTATCTTTATGAGATTTGAGTCCTATTTTCTTTTATTGTACCATTATCACCTCATATTACTATAACAGTAAATGCGTTTCGGCAGTGATGCAGTCAATTTCTAGACGAGGAGCGGGGGGCGGATATATGGCAAACATCTAATGTGGAGTTTGAAGATACGGGGCAGAAGTGTACAAAGCGGGGAGTAGGAGGAAGAGAGGGGTCAGGAGGAGGAGAGAGGGGTCAGGAGGAGGAGGGGTTCTGAAGAGAGTGGAGAAATGGAGCTCAAGGCTTGTTGGTGGGATCAGGAGGAGAGAGGGGTCAGGAGGAGAGAGTATGGGTGTTGGTGAATGTTTTGTGCTTTGTCAATGTGTGAGGAGGAGGAGGAGGAGGAGGAGGAGGGACGAAGAGGTTGGCCGGAGGCTGAAGATGGGGAAAGCTGTAGACTTGTGAGAATGGGAAGAAGGGGCGGTTGTGGGGGCAGAGCAAAGTGGTGGTTGGGGTGATGTGATCTGCGGCGGATGGGGGGAATGGAGAAGGAGGGGATGTGGAATGGGAAGAAGAGGTCATCTGCGAGGAGAGCGGGATGGAGGGAGGGAGGTAGACAGGGTTTCATATACTAGATTGCTTGACTGCTCGGGGTCACATTCGTGCTGCAATGGTGGAATAGGAGGAGGTGGAAGGCAAGGACAGTGTGTGAGCGGGAAGGGATGAGAGAAAAGGTGAGGGAGAGGAGGTGATGATGGGGAGGTAGAGAAGAAGGGAAGGAGAAGTGGGAGAAGTGGGAGAAGTGGGAGTAGGGTAACGTGCCATCGTGTGCGTGTGAGGGAGAGAGCAAGACGGAGGGGAAGCGAAGCTGGTCGGTCAAGCAGGATAGAAAAAGGAATAGTTGATGTCTGTGCGTGTCGATGAGGGTCCCATGGTTTCCCCAGACACAGTTCATTTCCGCCAGAGTGATCGGCAGATGGGGAGGGAGAGGAGGAGGAGGAAGAGGAGGAAGAGGAGGAAGAGGAGGAAGAGGAGGAAGAGGAGGTGGAGAAGGTGGTGGAGGAGGAGGAGGAGGAGGTGGAGAAGGTGGAGGAGGAGGAGGAGGTGGAGAAGGTGGAGGAGGAGGAGGAGGTGGAGAAGGTGAAGGAGGAGGATGAGGCTCCCATGGTTTCCGCCGTAGTGATCGGCAGATGGGGAGGGAGAGGAGGAGGAGGAAGAAGAGGAGGAGGAAGGCGAGGAGGAGGAAGAGGAAGAGGGGGAGGTGGTTGTAGTGGTCGTGGGAGCGTAGATTTGACGAGCTGAGTGGAAGAGGAGTTGGCATTTTTCTTCTTAGTTTTTTTTTTTTTTTTTGTTTGCAGTTCTTGGGTTTATGGGTCTATGATAGCTGGTGGGTCGTGATGTTGGTATTGAATTTGAAGTCTAGAATCTGGATTTCTTTGGGCCCCGCTCCACTACATAACACACTACATGCATTTGGAGAATTTCTGGACCCGGTGCTTTTATAATGTGGGACTTGTCCGGATGCACCTGGTCCAGAAAGCGCCCAAATGCATGGAGAGTGTTGTGTAGTGGAGTGAGGGCCTTCGTCTATTCTAGTAGTTTCTGCGATAGTATAACGTGTAGCTGCGGTCTGTCCTTTCTTCCTCTTTTCAAGTTTGACCGGTGTGGCTGTCCTCTTCATTGATGGGGATGAAAGTCCTCGATCTTGGGTCGACTCCACACGAGGAGAAGAAGTTATGCTCGCTCTGTTCATCTTGAGTCACGGACCGTTGATCTGCAGATTAGCTTATCGTTGCTCTGCTGTGCTCATTCGACAGCGAGAAAGTTACAAAAATGCAAGAAAAAAAAAAATATTATTAGGCTACCAGAGTCGCCCGCGACCACTTGTCCGGCCGGACAAAATAAAATAAAATAAAATAAAATAAAATAAAATAAAATAAAATAAAATAAACTGAAAATAAAATAAGAATAAAAATAAAATAAAACAAAAAATAAAATAAAAAATAAAATAAATTCGGTAAAGAATGTTAATGTGACCCTGAGGCAAAAGTTATTCAGTTTAGTTTTCTGCATAACATAGTTTTTTTAACCGGATTTTTAGGATTTTGTTTTTTCTTTTTGCTGGGACCATCCCTGTTCCTTGCGCGGCCGGGCCGCCCGGGAAAGCAAGATGACACGGGCGTCCCGACTGGTAGCCTATTTGTTTGTAAAGAACGAATGGGGAGAAGACCTCTGCCTCTTGCGTCTGTTAGCGCAGCTCGTGGACGCTTTTTTTTTCTTTATTTTCTTTATTTTCTTTTTTCCCTTTATTTTTTTTATTTTCTTTATGTTTCTTTATTTTTTTGTTTTTTATTTTCTTTATTTTCTTTATTTTCGCCGTTTCGTTACTCTCGAGACCTGGAAGTAAGCAAAATATTCAAAGAACGATTTTGTTCTTCCTTTTTTGATATTCGTTTTCCTAGCAAAGATTCAAAGTTGTGTTCTGGAGTTTGCACTATTCCAGCAAATTAGCAACTCGCTCATTTCTCACCTGTTCGCTCTCTCTCTCTCTCTCTCTCCTTTTCTCTCCCGCACGTTCTCTCTGTGTCTCTCTTTTCTTTTTTTATTCTCAATGATTTGAATTCATACTAGTAATTTGAATTCATCATAATTTGAATTGATGAGTTTTGTTTGTGTGTGCGATTCGAGGTCACGAGCTCGAATCTTGACGAGTTCGAACATTAAAACTGTTTATCGACAGCTATGGGCTACGCGAGCAACAATCGCAATGGCGTCAGTGAGTCTCTCATGACGGTAGGTGGTTTTAGGGAGCCGGTGCGAGTTCAAGCCCCCATGGGTACTCACATGGGTGTTCCGTTCAGGCTTCGAAATCGTCGGGTCTCTCCTAAAACCACCTACCATTACGGGAGGAGACTCAGTGTTCAGTATATCTGTATGATCAGATTACATTTAGATCAAATAAGATTGATATTAGTCCAGATTAGGGTAGATTAGATTGGATAACGATTAGATTAAGCTAGATGAAGATTACAGTTAGATTAGATTGAGAAAAAAAAAAAAGATTGAGATTAGATTATGGTAGAGTAGACAAGATTAGAAAACCCGGCACCCTAAACGCTAGGACAAAAGGGGCAAACATGCCTTTACCTCCCTCCACCGAGAGAGGTAAAACCTCCCTTCACCGAAGAGAGGTAGAAAGCTATGCTTGCAGGGGTCCCCTATATAGCCTTAGGAGTAGTGGTAGGTAGTGAAAAGAAAAAGATATGTTCCATGACATGGCAGAACGCCAGTTAAAATATGTGACGTGGGAGAAAAATATATAGCTGTCCCCCGATGAGGAGAAGACAAAGAAAAGAAAAAAGAAAAAAAAAGAAAAGAATAGACTAGATTGTAGATTAGATCAGGTTAGATTTAAGATTAGGTTAGAGATTCTATAAAATAAATATAGATAGAGATATTGATATTGATATAGATATAGATAGAGATAGAGATATAGATATAGATATAGAGAGATAGAGATAGAGATTAGAGGTAGAGATAGGGAAAGAAAAAACACTGACAATATGGTTATTAGAATTTTTTTGAAGTTATGAAAGAATCAAGCACGCGGTTCCAGAGCAAAAAATGAAGCCCACGTTTCCACTGCCCGCTTCACTCCCGCCACTGCCCGCTCCCCGACGTCTGCCCCTTCCCCCATATCGCCCTCCTCGCCCCCCCGCCCCCTCGGCCCTCCGCCCCCTCGCCCCTCCTCGGCGGCGGCAGGAGCTCGCTTTGACTGCCCACAAATCTTATCTGTGGCCTTGCACCTGTTGCAGTTTACGGCTATTCCTTTCCCCCCCTCCTCCTCCTGTCTCTTATACACATCTAGATGTGTATAAGAGACAGGTGTGTGTGTGTGCAGGTGAGGGAGAGGATGGGCGCATACAGTTTCTTGTGTGCGGCCTGTGCACACTTGGGGGGGAGAGAGAGAGAGAGAGAGAGAGAGAGAGAGAGAGGTGGGAGGTCCTTTAAAAGTTTCTTGACCATCCCTGTTTCTGCCAACCCTAATGTCTCATGTAGCACATCTGGCGGACACGCAAGTGAGCAGTGACGAGAAGCTCTGGCTTTGTTATGTTACCAGGAATTCCTTTTAGATGAGGGGGTACCCCCTGAATGTTCACAGTTCGAAGGCTGGGGTTGGCCCTCGGCAGAAAATATTTCTTGTTGTGCCTTCTTTCTGGGGGCAACCACTCGTCAACGAACCAGGGATGGATGAATTTTGAAGGGTGCAGGAATGATTCAGTGGCGGTATCAGTTCCGTTGCTGCTCGGACCATTAGAGATACGAGGAAAAAGATCCGGTCCTGTACTTTGTCATTGATGTTGTCCCCTTTATTATGGTTTTGGGTAAGTGGACTCTTAACTTGCGGGTCTGTACTGACAAGAGCGAACATCCACCTGGACCACGACAGGGCCATACGCTAGGGCTAACAGGTCAGGTCAAGAGATCAAGACCTATTGCATTCATTCGAGCAACGAGGGGTCCAAAACCCAAAGCACCCCCGTCATACGTTGTACTTCATCCACAACGATATGTCATTAGCAAAGGAAAAACGAGCGACAAGGGTCCTGACCCGAACATGTCTGGCATCCACCCCGTCACAACTCAGGTGAGGCTTAGCTTGGCCATCAACTGTACGTTCCTCCCCGTGAGCACAGGCCCGTCGGATCAAGGGCCGAGAAAAATGTTAAAGTCAGAGTCGGAGCACCCAACTTTGAGTGAATTGACTTTAATGGTCTATCATGCGCAGAATTTTGTGTCAAAGAAACCTTAAGAATCAGGCTCTTAGGTTTGACCTTGATCTTTTCTGTAAGGGGTAACTACGGCACAGTCACGAAAGCAGTTTGTAATTGCATTTGAAACTGCGTTTTCGCAGCTTTTTAAGTCAGGACCCGAGTTTCAATTGCAGTTGAGACTCGGGCTGCGCAGTTCAGTCAGGGCCCTCGTCTATCCACGAACAGTAGATTAAAAATAAATAAATAAAAAAAAAAAAAATCCCTTATGCTGTGATTGCGGCCCTATACAGGATGTTGCAGTGTTTGTCTGGAACTGAATGAAGCGAGGCAGTTAGCTGCCTCGCGTGGAATTTGCCATGCCTGGCTGGCAAGGCGCTACAAGGACCTCAGTCAAGAAACAAAAAAGGAAAACGACATGTTTCATGTTCCTCACTTCCTCGCCAGATACATTCCTCAAAGCACTGGTGAGGTGAGGGCTGTCCCGACGTAGGTGGATTCGAAGTTCCTCGTTTCTTTACTTTTTTATTTCTTTTTTTTTTTTATTTCTGTTTTTGGCCTCCATCCTTGCCCCGAGCCCCCCACTTTTTCGGAGTAGGCTACTCTTGAGACTTCGCGTTTGCCTGTGAAGGGTAATACCTGCGAATCTCGGTTGTGGCCGAGACATCTCGGTCGTGGCCAGTCTGGGGTGTGGCCAAGACATCTCGGCCGTGGTCCAGCCGCGGAGGGGCACACAAAACAACAACGAAGAAAGAAAGAAAAGAAAAACTGCTAGAAAAAGCCAGCCCGAGTTTCAAACTGCTAAAACGCAGTTTCAAATGCAATTGAAACTCGGGCTTTGACTAAACTGCTAAAACGTTTCAAATACAATTACAAATTGTAACCCTGACTGCGCCATAGTTTTCTCTTTCTGTAAATTTATTTGACTGGGTGGGCAGCAAGATGGAGATGGGGCGAGAGGAAGGCTAGTTGATTGAGTGGTGGGTAGGGGGAGGGCAGGAGATGGGATGGTCAATAGGGGATGGCCAGATCTCTGCAGGGCGAAATGGCAGGAGGAAGAGCAAGCCAGTTGATCTGATAATTTATGGCAGATGATTGACAATAATAATGATATATGTGGCGAATTTTGCTAACCTCTGCGAGAAATTTGACAATAACAATCATATGTGAATGTTCTTCGCCGGGTGAACAGCCTAGGGTAAGGGAGGGTAGGCAGACGACCTTGTGGAAAACTTAAATCATGGAGCTGGGCAGCAGCCTTATGCAGGGAGGGGGCCGAGGGTTTGCCGTGCACAACTACGACTGTGAAGGATTAGGGTACGATTGGAAGACAGTTTGTCACCCTCTACATGGCTAGACCTTTATACATATTGTGATCTGGCTGGTAATTAGGCAGACAGTCAATCCCCTTGTGAGAGGGCAATCAATGTTGTTCTGCGAGGTATACCTTGTCTGATCTTGTCAGTGGGACGCTGGACCCGGGTTCCAGCAGGTGATGCTTCCCACCAAAGATTGGAGCCATCTATAAACTGGGGCTTGCTATTGGAGGATGCTCGTATCGCCTAAAATAGCAGGCTGCCACATATGTTTTGCCAAAAATAAAAGAAAAGAA